ACACCTGTTATCTTGATGGAGAATGATCTTCAAAGTGTCTTCCAGTACTGAGAAGCACTAACTCTTATAGGAGGGGTGGACCACCTCTACAGGTTTTGAGGGTTCGGGGAAGTCTACAAAGCCTCAACCTTGATATCACAAATCCAGACGACCTCATCCAGTGCTTTGGAGTTCCGAGTTTTCCCAAACAGAGCCCTCATTCTAGCCTAATAGATATGGCTTGATTGGACATCTAGTCATATCTGGGGATTTGCAAGTCTAATTCTTAAGTTCTGCATTTGATCCTCATGTATGCCTAGTTTCCCACTGAAGGAAATGAAGTCCCTCTCTGTAAGTTTCCCAAAGGGCCCTCTGACTCTCTTCCTTAAATTTTAGCTGTTGTTGACTATATCCTCAGTTTCTCCTTATTTCTGTGTAGAGCATCAGTACAATCTAGTAATAACTGGCCAACTCTACCCTTGTTGTATATACAATGTCCCCTTCACAGCCTTCAAATGCTTTAATCAGCAATGGGGTCTCCCCTCAACTGGGATGTTTTCCCAGGTAACCAACAGTGAAATCTTCAGAATTTGGACTGTCACAGTTTGCCAGGTTCGCGATATGCCCTATATACTACTCAAGATGGTGGTGAGTAATCCAGTCTGAGAACCCCCTTTAATTGCATGTTTTCTTGTATTATTGCAATTGGTAGACACGTCCATACTCTAGTACCCCTGCTATATTCAGTCCTGGGCTAGGAGTAGCCCAAGAACAGCATTACCTCATATGAAGCACATTTATGCTGAAATTTGTCATTTATCAAAAATTCAAATTTAACTGTATTTTGGAAATCCTATATTTTATTTGCCAAATCTAGCAACCCTTCCACAGTGGCAGGGTTAGAGGTCACATGTAGGCACAACAGCATGGTTACCTACACACTAAAGCTCATTTAGCTATTGTCCTTGCCTATAAAAGAGGCCAATGGTGAGTCCCCAATGTGTCACTATTCTTGAAGGAAACCAATAAGCAACTTGTGGGCAAATATGGAGTCTCTTCAAAACTGGATGGAGCAATAATTCAGCTTGACTGCAATTGACACAAATTCTAGATATGATTTTTTTCCTGGAGATGTTTAGCCAGTTGCCATTCAATAGTGTTTGATCCACAAAGACAAGATTTTATATAACATTAGATTGGACCCAGAGGTTCCCTTGCCAGAAAAAGGTGTGCAATATTGGACACATGACCTGGAATTTGATTACATACAATACTACCCATAAATTGCCATCCAGATAGAGTGATGAAATGGTGTGTTAAAGACAGAGGTAAAGTGTGAGCTTAGGAATGATACTCTAAGAGGATGGGAAGCCATCCACCAGGAAGCATTTTGCACCCTAAATCATTTTGCACCCTATGCGGTAGAAAGTACAGGTTTGGGAACTGAGGAGCAGAAGTAGAAGTTGTTTTGCTTATCCACTCCTGGTGACCCACTTAAGGGAATCTGTGACTCCAGTTTTCATAATTCTGGGTCCTACAGGTTTAAAGCTCTTGGCTTCAAGATTGTCAATGCATTGACCAGGGAACACAAGAGTTCCATCAAATTTTATCCATAGCCACTGCTTGGTCATGTTTGACACCAGCCAAAAGAAAACAAGTCACCATCCTGACAGTGGTAATTGATTCTAATCACCATAAGGATATCATGCCACTTCTATACAGTTGGGGCAGGGAAGAATAAGTTTGACATCCAGAGGACCCACTTAGATGTCCCTTAGAAATGATGAACAAGTCCACCAACCATGGGCAGAAAAGGACATGGTGTCCAGAGGCTCAGACCCTCCAAGAGTGAAGGTTTCAGTCAGTCCACAAGGTAAGTTACCTAGATAAGTATATACTAGCTAAGGGTGAGAGGAGTTCTGAAATGTTTTGTATGGCAGGGATGATGAGCATCAGTTAAGGCCACCAAGACTAGCTCCTGTAACAGATGTGCAATGTGTTTCATTAGTCTTATAAATCCTCCCAAGGAAAAGAAGCTCAACATAACCATGGGAGCATGACTGTGGTGTGTATTTGTATGAAGCAAATGGGTCTCAGCAAAGTAAGGGGCAAATAATCGTGGATGTTGTAGTGTCCCACCAAGTCCTTCCCCCACCACTGCTGAGACTGTTGGAGGCTGACAGCTTTTAATGGAGACCCTCTTAGGCATACCCATGTTCATGCTCACATTCAGTGAGGGAGTATAAGGGCCCATCCACCTTGCCCTGATTTTCGACCACTCAGAACCATCCCAGCTTGAGAACTTCTAATTTGTTAATCTGAGGTTCTTATTTATTTATTTATTATACCTTAAGTTCAGAGGTACATGTGCAGGTTGTGCAGATTTGTTACGTAGGTATACTTGTTACATAGGTATGTATTTGTTACATAGGTACCTATTTGTTACATAGATATATTTGTTACATAGGTGCTATGGTAGTGGTTTGCTGCATCCATCACTCTGTCATCTACATTAGGTATTTCTCCTAATGTTATCCCTCTCCAATCCCCCAACCCCCTGCTATTCCTCCCCAGCCCCCACCCCCCAGGCCCCAGTGTGTGATGTTCCCCTCCCTGTATCCTTGTGTTCTCATTGTTCAACATCCACTTATGAGTGAGAACATGCAGTGTTTGGTGTTCTGTTCTTGTGTCAGTTTGCTAAGAATAATGGTTTCCGGTTTCATCCATGTTCCTGCAAAGGACATGTACTCATCCTTTTTTATGGCTGCATAGTATTCCATTGTGTATATGTGCCACATTTTTTTTATCCAGTCTATCATTGGTGGGCATTTGAGTTGGTTCCAGGTCTTTGCTATTGTGAACAATGCCACAATAAACATATGTGTGCATGCATCTTTATAATATAATGATTTATAATCCTTCGTGTATATACCCAGTAATGGGATTGCTGGGTCAAATAGAGTGAACCAGCAACCAACAGAATGGGAAAAAGTTTTTGCAATCTACCCATCAGATAAAGGGATAATATCCAGAATCTACGGAGAACTTAAACAAATTTACAAGAAAAAAAAACCCCATCAAAAAGTGGGCAAATGATATGAACAGACACTTTTCAAAACAAGACATTTATGCAGCCAACAAACATATGAAAAAAAGCTCATCATCACTGGTCATTAGAGTAATGCAAATCAAAACCACATTGACATATCACCTCATGCCAATTAGAATGACAATCATTAAAAAATCAGGAGACAAGTGCTGGAGAGGATGTGGAGAAGTAGGAAAGCTTTTTACACAGTTGGTGGGATTGTAAACTAATTCAACCATTGTGGAAGACAATGTGGCGATTTCTCAAAGATATAGAAATACCATTTGACTCAGCAATCTGAGGCTCTTAACAGCCAGTGCATCATAGCTCAATTTCTTCTCCACCGGGCGTTGCTCCTAGCACTCCTCCCAAAGGCAGGGATCCAAAGAGCACTCCCCAGTCAACTTCCTGCATTCTAATCTCAGTCTCAAAGACTGCTTCCTAGAAAAATTGACCTTTGAAAGTGTGAAAGTATGGTGAAAGTGTGTTTTGCCCTACGTCTTTTCCTTTTGTTTTAGTTATTATTATTTCTTAGTACGGGCACTGTTCTCAATCTTTTCTTTTCTTTTTTTCTGATATTTTATGTCATGCTTAGAAGGGCCTTTCCCATCCCAGGAATATAAACATATTCATGTATATTGTCTTATAGCACCTTTATGGTTTCCTTTCAAAAAGTTTTTAAATATTTGATTCATCAGTAATTTGGATGAGAAGAGACATAGGAAGATAACTTTATTTCTTGTTTTTCAAATGCTTAATTGGTTCCCTGTACTATTTAATTTTAAAATTCCTTTAGCCCTCCAAATGTTTCTGAGGTATAGTGTGTTTTTATCTTTTTTCCAGTTTCTAGTTATCAATGCCTAACTCATTTTTTCCCATGGTATTTAGTAATTGAAACATTTAAATTATGAATTTTTCTCTAAGAGCAGTGTTGGCTGCAACTCATTCATTAATTTTTTTTTTAGATATTATGCACTTAATTACGATTTCAATTTCTTTGTTTTAAAATAACTGTTTATGTGAGCATCTAAACATTTATAGATGGTAGAGATTTTATGTGTTTGTAGATTTATTACAGTGAGATTAAAAAATCTGTTTTGCACTATTTCTATGTATCAAATCTATTTAAATATGACTGCTTACAAACTCACACGTCTACATTGCCCAAGAACCACACTGCCTTTTTTCCTCCCTATGTCTTTAGTGACAAAATATTTTCCTAGTTCTAAAATTGTTCCTTGTATTTTCTGTGAATTTCTTGCATGCAAGTTTGAGCATCATTCTAAAGACTTTATTGCAAAAATGGCTGTTCAGATATAGCCTTTTTGTCTCCTCTTTGGTTCTCATTATTGTTTCTGAGTTTCTTTAGAGTTGGAAGTGTCACAGGATGCCAGGGCCACACTTCCCAACATACCTTTAGAGGTATAAAATAACATACCTTATTTTGAAAGGTGAATCAACCAAGGTGTCCAGGCTTGTTCCAAGCCAAGCCAGGGTATTACCATTTCTAAAATCCAGTCCCACTCCACTATTAACTCCTTGTGTGACAGGAGACAAATCTCCCATTTTTTTCTGTGCATCAGAATCTTCATCTTTATGTGGTAGAGGAGGGGAATGTTTTGAGTCTAGTGGTCCCTAGGAACCGTCTAGTTTTGATTAGGAGAGCTAGAGTGATAGGCAAGGCAAAAGGGACACGGAGCCAGCAGAGGCATGGGAGCAACAAAGGGAATCTGTAAAGGGTGCCACACACCCAGGCACACTACTCCCTTCGTTCCTGTTCTCTACTAATGAGAAAAGGGTAAAACGGTCCATGCGTGGCAGGTATGGAAATTACGGAAGGAAGAGAGGAGCAAAGATGTGGGTCATGGATTTCAGATTTAAAACCTGGACTGAGAACAAACTTGAACTCCACAGATACCAGCCACACTTTGAATGCTTCACTGATATATTTATTAGCATATTTCCCCATTTCAGATGATGGTGACAAAAAGTAGATGGAGATCCCACCCTATCCACCCCCCAATAAATTACAGAATTACAAACACAGATTGACTTAGCATATACAAGCATTGGGGCATATCAAAATTCATTCTACTGGGTTACTAGAGCCAGGAGAGATCTGATCTTGGGGGCAGTCTGAGCACCTAAGGTTCAGAAATTGAGCTAAAGAGACGGCGCCATTGTGGGCCCTGCCACTGCAGTACCAGCAGAGGTGACAGAGTAGAATCATGGTGAACTGAGCTGCCTACCCCTGTCATGTGGTCTAGAAGGCAACAGTAGGCTCTTGGGTAGCTTCCAGTGAGATCCACAGTCCCATAGAAATCTGTGCCTCAGGGTTTCCATCTGCACAATGGGGATAATAATCCTGTCCTAAAGATGTCACAGGGCTATCATGAAGCTCCAAATAGACACAATTTGTCAAAAATGCTTTGCCAAAGTTCCAGTGCCAGACAAATTTAAGGGAATTCAATTGATTGACTGTAATTGTTAGAGTGCCCCAGGTATAACGGTGGACTGGCTCATGGGTCCAGGGGCCATGCAACTGATAGAACTCCTATGGTGTGCCTTAGGTGGGCACAAATCAATGGTGAGTAATGCCTGCTGCAAAGCCAAGTTTCTTTAGTTTCTTGGCCCCAGGAAGTCACCAAGGCCAAGTACCTGGGTCAGGGCTAGGGAAAGTCACTGGGGAAGTTACAGAAAAGTCACAGGGGTCAAAGAGAAGGAAGAAGGTGGCATATAAAGCAGGGAGTAGTTACTATCATCACACACAAAAATAGATACCCATTGGATGAAGGGCATTGAATTAGTAGTAAGGATGAAAGACAGAGCCAGCAGGGAGAGGGAGATGTCACAGCAGCAGAGAGAGGAATGCTGTCCCAAATAGGCTGTCTTGCTGCCACCCTCATTCTAAAAGGATAATGCCATAATGCCAGTGTCTATCTATCTGTAGAGAAAGGGATAGCAGGGAGAGAGAACCAATAACATAATAATCTGACCAAAGGGTAGGGATCCCTTCCTCCTGCTACACTGCTGCCCAGCATCTTAATGAGGTGTCAGGTATAGAGAAGCAACTAGTTGGTGCACTTTGAGGCTGAGGCCAGAGCTGGGCCCAAAGCACTACAAAGGCAATAGTGGGCTTCTGGAAAAATGCAGTGGTTGTCAGCACTGTTGAAAGATAGTTAATCCGCCTGTACATAGGCATGGTTTTGGGGAGCTGATCACTAGGTGCCTATGATTTTTAAGACTGAGGATCACAGACGGTCCCTAAAGAAGAGGAAGGTGGCCCATTTATTAATAATTTGAAACGGGCTACCAAGGAGACTCAGTGAATGAGCCAGATTGGGGAGAGGCGCAGCAAAGACAAACCCTCTATAGGCTTCCGTTTAGGGAAGGGGGCAGGAAAATCTCTAGTTGCTCCTGCTGCTGCTGCTTTCGCCTAAGTCCCTTGGCAAGGGGCTTGGGCCTCCTGGGGAACTGGGGAGGTTGCCTCACAGGGTACCAGCTGGCACCTACAAGTTAAGGCAAACAAGCCAATAGAGCACATTGAAGATGAAGAAGGTCACTGGGAAAACAACTCGCGAGTAGTTATCCAGGCGGTAGACGTGGATGCAGAGGCGGCCCTGCTGCCAGGTACTGCCCTCACAATCAGGAACCATGCAGAAGTACTTCTTAAAACGCTTGCACCACTCACAGATGGCCAGCTTGGAGTAGAGTCTGCGGGGACCCTCAGGGCTACCTGGGCTAGGGGACTGCTGGGCTGAGCAAGACGGGCGGTCCTCTCCATCACTTCCCTCAGTGGTGACAATCTGGCACACAAAAGCTTCCTGATGTTGTCGGGTACAGGCTCGGGCACGTGCACGGGCACGGGTATGGGCACGGCTATCGATACAAGGCTAAAATGGACAAGGAAAGAAGTGGGGAAAAGTCAAGGGAAGAAAAGCCAAGTCTAGGTGCTGCCTCTGGATTTTCTGGAAACTGTCTTTGGCACACCATGTCTTGGCTTGTCACCTCCAACTTCTCACCATTACATCGGGAAGTTGATTCAACTCCCCCCACAACCCTGGTTAATACCCCATCACTCAGCAAGCTGACCACCCATGTGCCATAACCCTAATGCCCTTGCTAGAATGTCTTCACACTCCAAATCCTTGCCACCACTCCCATACCCAGTTCATACATGGCGGAGTTTTGGAGAAGCATGGGCTTTGGTCTGGTTGTAGATCAGGAAGTTGAGCACAGCAAACTCCAACAGAGCGCAGAAGCAGAAGACGAAGCAGATGGCGATATAGAAATCCAAGGCTGTGATATAGGAGACACGCGGGAAATTTTTACGAGAAAAGGTGCCCAACGTGGTCATGGTAACAACAGAGGTGACCCCTGCAAGAGCACAGGAGTGGAGGTGGACTCAGCTTCTGACCTATATGCTACATTGGTTGAAGGACTCCATGACAAGGCAACTCTGCTGTGGCCCAGCCAACTCCCAGCCATGTGCTTATGTGTATGCCTCTTTCCCCTCTTACCTACAGAAGTCCGGGCAGGAGCAGACTCTGTCTTGATCCAAAAGGAAACCCAGGAGAGCATCGTGGTCATGGAAGAAGGGACATAGTTTTGAAAGGCAACATAGCCAAACTGTCTGCTCACATTGAAGAAAATCGTCATGACCATGAAGTCACCTGAAAGACAGAAAAAACGCCACTGCATTACATGAAGGTCTCCCTTAAGCAGGACATGCACAGTAAGGGTTTCACCATTCATCTCACAGTATTCCCTAGGATACAGGCATGATGTTACAATGCAATATATGCAAATAGGATCAGAAGAAGTACAGAAAAAAGACTTACTGCAAGACCCATGGCCAGTAAACAGCTAAGTCAAGGCCAGAATCTTAATAGCTTCTTTCTCAGTTCACTCTCCCACACTCAATGTCTGTCTCTGCAGGGTGGCAAGAGAGCCCAGTGAAAGTGAAAAAAACAGCCTTTTAGATATCATGCCCATGCAGCTGATATCCAGATGGCTGACTGAGGACTTCACACCCACTAAGCCCACTGAGACATGTCATATCTGGACTGCTGGCCCTCAGAATGTCTACTCTCAGCAAATGAGACCAGGGATGTCTGTGCTGTGGTGGGGAAGCACAGAATGCTTTCAGCCTCCTTTCTACACATTCGTATGATGGCAAAATGCCTTAGTGAGGGAGCACTGCTCCACTGATGGTCAAAACCGGGACTAGCGTGCTCCCTAAACTTTTGGTGGCTCCCTATTCCACATGAGCTATAGACTCAATCTGCACTCTGGACTCTGATGCTAAAGGCCCACAATGACCCATCTCCAACTGACATTTTACACTCACACTCTCACGCATCTTACCCAAAGCCAATCCCATCTGCTCACAGATTTCCTGAGATAGCCTGCAAATTTATACCAATAATCTAACCCTGGACTCTCTGGTCTTAGTCTAGGACCTCTAACCCAAATTGAATGTTTCAGGAAAATAGAAGAATGAGCTTAAAAGGAACATTTCAGTCAGCCCTCCAGATGTCAGATCTGTGGAGTACATATCCACAGGGCAGACTAAGGTCCTCATAGTCACTTGGACACTGTGTCCCTGGTCATGGCTTTCAGCTAGACAGTCATGGCTCCTCCAGGACCTGATGACAAAGTATATGTTTAGTTGGCATCTTTTTAAATACCATTCATGCTGCTTTATGCTCTGATGAACCTTCTCCATGATAGCAGGAGGCATGTTATCATGACTCCTGGGCTTGTGTGGGCTTTTCTCTGAACCCAGGACATCATTTTCCACTCTCAGCATCACATTGGAATTGTGATACTATAGAACTCCTAGGCCTATAATTAGGTGTGCTTTTAAGTCCCTTCAAGGCAGGGCTCATGTGGGCCCTGTGGCTTAGCCACTGCCCATCCAAGCTCAGAACAGTCTGGAACCCAGCAGACACTCAGCAACTCTTGCTCTTGCCAGGCAACATCTTTGTAAAGCACAGCAGAACACTAACCTGTCTTTGTGTCCTGTTTTGGAAAGTAGATCACCTGCCCAGCAGGTCAGGGTGGGTTGGAGCTGAATGAGAAGAGCTGAATTACTACTCACCTTGCTTGGCAGCACTGAAACTCAAGGAACAAGGTTTCTCAGATTCGTCTGGAAAAAGGCAAGGGAGTGACCTGTTTTCAGTGGGAAACCTGTGTGTTGAGTATAGCTTTGCGATCGAACTCCTCCAGAGCTTATGCACAGACCACCCTCACACTTGCCTACTGGCCAGAATGTATTTATCAAAAGTCCTCTTGCCCTGGGATCTTGACTGCAATTTAAGGCACTTCTAATTGCTGGGTTTATTTAATATATGGCCAAAAAAAGAAGCTTCTCCATTCATCAAGAGGTGGCAATTTGTCTTGAAGGACAAGAGAAAGATGCTAACACACGCTTTTTTCTTCCTGAGGAATTAGAGAAGCACAGGTAAGAAAAGCATATATATCTGGGGCTGAGGAACCAAAGCAAAAAATACATGCTAAAGACGGTTTTATGCTCAAACTCTTATCCTCTTTGAACAGACCGTCGTTGGTCACTGCAATGTCAGAGGGACACAATTAAAAAGATCATGGCCAGAGGACTGGGACTAGAAGGATGAATGGACCCAAGGCTTTGAAGAATAAGGGAAGAAAAAAAATCCTAGGGCTATGTAGACTACAACAGACTATGATCCATGCCGGGAATGATAATGCTGATCCTTTCATCTCGGCCCTGTGAAACAGTGGCTGGACTAATGTAAGCTGGATAGTTCCAAGGAAAAATAACTAGACCCAATGTGTGGAACTTCCAGAGACTCCAATTTCAGATGAACAGGAAGAGTCTTCTGATGGACAGAACTGTCTAGAGAAGAAAGAAACCTCCTTGTAAGACAGTGAATTCCTGACCAGCAATAATATTCCATTGGAGGGTCCACAGTCATCAGTGAAGGACAAGCCACTCCCTGGGGCAGGGCTGGACTCTCTTTGAACCTCCTGAAGCAGAGATTCTCTGGCCGAAAGTCCAAGATGGCCAGAGTAGCAGGCTACCACTGAATTCTGAACCCTTAGGAGATGACCACATAAGTATGCTCCAGATGGAGAGATCTGTCCTAGGGTCCAGCTGGAAGAGTTTGGACTCTGAAGTCCAAAGATAACTCTGACACTGAAGGAACCATGTCTCAAGATCAACTAGTCTCTAGCAGAGGAGAAAGAAGACCTCTTTTCTCCTCAACAATCCTCCTCACTCCCAAGGAGGTCTGGTGCTTACCTACTGTCACTGCTTTGGTGATGATACTGGCTCTGGGGCTTTGTAGTCACTAGGGCACCATTTTGAAACAATGCACAATCATCTACTAAATGGAACCACGAGTGACTTAAAAGCCCCTGGGCCTTATCTCCTCTGTCACTTTTGATGATAGGTCCCCACCTATCTGGGAAAAACTGACTTGTGGAAAGCCAAGAGGCAGGCCTATGGTTAGCTGGCAGAAGAGCAATGCTCCCAAGTCAAAGGTAGTAATACTGCTTCCCCAGAGTTCCTAAGAAAAAAGGCAAGTATTTGTAACACATTCCAGCCCTTCTTCCCCTTCCTAGTACTGTGCAAGCAAAGCTCTGGCCACATGAGCATGAGCTTTCCCTCACTCAGAGAATGACTCAATAATGACTCAACAAATGAAACAAAAGCAGATTTTTCTGCCTAGTCACATGGTAGCAGAACAAGATGCCTCTCACGACAAATGGCTGGTTGGGTGACTGGCTCCATCCACACTCTGGAAACGATGAGGGCAGTGCCTTCACTGCCCTGAACTTGGTTAGGACGCGTGGAGAGTGTTTCCAGGGCTGCTCTGGGAGCTACCCTGGGGAGGTACCTTAGCTCCTCATTCAGATCACCTAGGAACATAAGTGAAGATGCTCACATCTAATCGCAAGCTGAAGTGTAAGAGGCCCAGGGCCTTCCCTTTTAGTCTTTGTTAGAGAAAAGGTCAGAAAACCAGTGGTCACTATGCTTATGTTAAATCCACCATGAACTCTGACAAGAATTTGTGCTTTTTAGACCAGTTCCTTTAAGATAAATGCCAATGCAGCAGCCACTGTAGCTGCTGTAACTTCCTCCAGACTATCCCAGCCTTAAACTTGCCGACATTAGAGCTCCAGCCTCCACCTCCCACTATAATGGACTTTGCTTCCCGTTCAGCCAGCTTGGATTGGTTCTGGGCATGGAGAACTCATATGAGCTCCATTCCCCAAAGTCATCCAAGTAGGTCAGTGTTGTAACCTTGAAACTGAAGAGTCCCCATGAAAAAGCCAGCTGCACATTCTGACAGCAACAGAACTTTATCTACTTACCTAATGTCTCAAGGGGCTTGGCAAAGCACTTACTTCTTTGCAGATAAGACTGAGACATAGTTACAAAGTCTCAGTTTCCTCTGCAAACAGTTGTAAGTGCTTAGCAATTATGAGACAGGAGCCGTGTCTTACAATATTTCCATGGGATTACTGCAAAGCATTTGTATGGATGGCCATCTCCAATCATCCCTACCACCTTCCTGGACTTCCGCCAAGCCCTGGTTTCCATGGCACACTTACCAGCTGGGGTTGAGATTATTTCAGTTTTGTTGCTCACTCCTGTAAAATAAAACTGGAAGAGCTTCCAGGAGTTCTTCTCATTGATTTCAAGCTTGAAATTTTCCCACTTGTAGGTCATCTCATTCTCAGGATAAGAAACTGTAAAGCAATGTAAGAAAGAGGGTCATATGAGACTTGGAAGGCCATCTGGGTCTCCAATAGCATGGAGTCAGCCTGCACAATGCCTTGGAGTCCTGTCTGTGGTCTCACCAGCTGTGGGATCTTGCCTCTCTTACCTCATTGTTGAAGTCCATTCAATAAGAGCATTACTGAGCATTCCTCAGTATCAGGCCGTGGGCTGGAAATACAGAGATGAGCAAGGCATGAACCTATCCTCAAAAATTTACATATAATTTTGTAAGACAGTGAGTATATTACTGTGATTTTTGGAGGTGCTCTGAAAAACCTATGCCTGTGGAACAGTGGGGAAACAAAGCAGATAAAGATCATTTGCAGACATAGTCAGAAAAGACTTCATAAAGCAGGTGATATAGCCCCATTAATCTTGAAACTCAAGAAAATATTCTCAATAAGAATGAGATTGAAGTGACTAAGGGGCAGCATAGAAAGGTGAAACACTTTGTGTATTGTGGAAAAGCCAAAAGTTCAGGATGGCTAGCTCACAGAGGATGAGGAACACAGGAGTGGGTGGCAGAGTACAGTTCATGAATGGTTCTGAGGATCATCCTAAGGAATTTCAAATTAATTCATGACAGTTAAGGGCAGATTTGAAAGTGAGAAGTGATCTGGTCTAGGTGACCTTTCAGCTAGGTCGCTTTGGTCCTTCCGTGAGGATAGCATGTTGGCGAAACAGGCCAGCGTAGTAATCCAGTCACAATTAAATTAATGCAAGTGGAAGTCAAAGCTGTGACAAAGTGCATACAAATAGACAGCATTGATAGAGACTGGGAGGAAACACCAATAAGATGTGCAGATTGATTAGATACAGGAAGTGAGGGAGACGGAACACCAAAGTTCTTGATTTGGGCAACTGGGTTGGGTGATGGTACTCTTCAATGAGACAAATGGGAACACAGAAGCAGCACTCCTGTTTTGGTGATAGAGGTTTGGAGGAGACAATGAATTTTGTTTCGGGCATGTGCAGTTTCAAAGTGAAGATATGGCAAAAGTCCAAGCGAAAGATGACAAAGGCCTAAACCAAGGCAGTGCCAGATGGAGAGGAGCACACATACTTGAGGTACATTTCAGAGGCACGTGGACGGGTTGAGTAACACAGTATTGTTGGCAGGAAAGGAAATGAGGGTGGAAGATGGAAGCCCTGCACAACCTTGGCACCGTTTTAGGAGAAAAGCAGAGGCAGAAAAATGTAAACGGCAAGGATGAGAAAAAGAAGGAGCCCAGCATGTCTCTGGGGCCCCAGAAACCTAAGAAGGTACTCACAGCTAGAGAAAGACAGAGGGCAAGAGTGAGAATCCATTGGAAATCTCAGCATGTGGAGTGAGCATCCAGCATCAATGGTCATCCTGGAAGGGAGAAAGGAGCCTCATTAGGCTGATCCTAAGCACTTTCATATCCACCCAACTTTGGTCTAGGGACCAACACCAATGAATAGCCAGAGTTGATTTTGTTTGTTTGTTTGTTTGAGACAGAGTCTCACTCTGTCACCCAGGCTAGAGTTCAGTGACATGATCTCAGCTCACTGCAGTCTCTTGCCTCCCAGGCTCAAACAGTTCTCGTGCTTCAGCCTCCCAAGTAGCTGGAATTAGCGCCATCATGCCGCACTAATTTTTGCATTTTTAGTAGAGACAGGGTTTTTCCATGATGGCCAGGCTTGTCTAGAACTCCTGATCTCAAGTGATCTGCCCGCTGCAGCCTCCAAAGGGGTTGTTGGGCTCACAGGCATGAGCCACCGCACCCGGCCCTCAGTAGAATTTAAGACAAAAAGCTCAAAGGAGAGATAACAAAAGAAAAAACAAAACAAAACAAATAGGCAAATAGCTTAGAAGTATCTGGCTACTCTGGGCTCCATCATTAGAGAAACATATGGACCAACTTTGATAGGCTTTTTTTTTTTTTCCTCACCCAGCCCAGTTTCCAGGACCTGCCAACATCCTCCCACTCTTCCCCACCTTCCTGCCCCCAACACACAATCTTCCCCTGTTGGGAATTCAAGTATCCAACCTGATCTTAGGTACCTTTGCCACTGCTGTGCTGCTGCACCTCCTGAACAACTCCACCACTGTGGACGTATCTTTATAACCAGTGCCCACTTGGGATGGAATTGTCTAGGTAATGCAGTCATACTGACACATCCTAGTTGGGGGAGTTCTGGACTTGGAGCCAAGTAACTGGGTACCAGTTCCAGCTCTGTCACAAACTTGGTGTGTGGCTTGAAGCAGTATCTTCCTATTTTGAGGCCTCCATATCTGTTACATGAGGGAGCTGAGCTCATGGTCTAGGAAAGCTGGACAGGCCCTTAGAGGTATCATTCAGAATGAGATCTCTGCCCATGGATCTTTAGCTAAAATTATCAGAATGGGAGAGAGAATCCCAGAAGGTGAGACTCCAGAGGCTCGACATACCTAATTGTGTACAGCACCTTGCCATCCTTGTAGATGCGGACCATCTGGTTGGGCATCGTGATCTCATGCTCTTGGGTTCTCTTAGAATTTCTAAAAAAGGTGTCTGGGATCCATAGCTGGCTCACCACGTTGCCACTCATAACAAGAGACTCAAAGGTGTCATTGTAACAGAGGCGTTCATCATACCAGGTCTGGGAGAACATGATGTCAATGGTGTATTCCTGGCGGGAAGGACAGAAAAGCAGACACTTGGGGATAAGCAGAAAAAGGACACTGACATGTTAACATATTGTTTGCCACTCCCTAACCTAGAATCCTAAAGGCAATGTGGTGGAATTCATAGAGCACTGGGCCAGTAAGCAAGTCAACACTCTCTCAGTCCCCACATTTCCACAGTAAATCAAAGATCCCAGCTCAAAATTGTTTTAAAAATTTACAAGCACAACACACACCATTGATTGCATACAGTGAAGTTTCCCCTTTCAATTTTTATTTAGGGAGGACAAATATTAATTAACCCCAATCCTTCATTCTCCAGAATTAAAATAAAAATAAAGTGTTTTGGATGTCTGGTGCTATGGCTCATGCCTGTAATCCCAGAAGTTTGGGAGGCCAAGGCAGGAGGATCACAAGGTGAGGAGTTCGAGACTAGCCTTGCTAACATGGTGAAACCCCATCTCTACTAAAAATACAAAAATTAGCGGGGCATGGTGGCGGATGTCTGTAATTCCAGCTATTGGGGAGGATGAGGCAGCAATATCCCTTGAACCTGGGAAAAGGGCATTACAGTGAGCTGAGATTGTGCCACTGCGCTACAGATTGGGTGACAGAGCAAGACTCCATCTCAAAAAAAAAAAAAAAGAAGTGTTTTGAGTCACAAGAGAAATGTCTATTTAGTCTCATGTTTTTTAAACAAGAAGAAACTTTTTTTCCCCTTGTTTTGTTTTTGCTTTCAAATAAGTGCCTGTAACCTCTGAATGTGTGTGTGCATGTGCATAGATATATCCATGATTATTTGGTCTCCAGATATTCTCTGTCCCATAAAATATCTGTTAAACATAAACAATGATATTTAATAGGAAGAAGCTAGAAATGTGCACCACTGGTGTTGAAGGGAGGAAAAAACCCGACAGCTATAGAACTGCAAGCAGCTCGAGCAGCAAGTACCACAACTAGGCCAAGGTAGAACTCCGACGGCTAGCCCAACATCCTTTATTTTAGAGATAAGGAAACTGTGAGGCTCCATGAGAAAGGGGTCAATCCAAAGTCACACAAATAGTCAATAGCAGCCTTGCCCTGGACGGATTTCACTTGCAACAACAATCCTTTTAGGTACCAAGGTCCAGTTTTCTCTGCAGAATCCCTAGGTCTTTCCCCTGAGTTCTGCATCCAACAATGAATACACACAACTATGGAGGTAGGTAGGGCCCTTAGGGAAGAAATAAAGAAAATCCCTAATTGTCTTTGCTGCCAAGCCACCAAACTGCTGGGAGCCAGCCATGGAAGAGAAGACTGAGAATGTTCCCTGGAGTAGGCCAGAGTAGCACACAGAAAAGAGCTGGCAGAGCCTGGCTCCCATTTGTATAAGAGTCTCTGACTCCACCCTGCCCCACCTGCCTCCACAAATAGCCTTCCAAGTATTTCTACTGTCCCAAGTGGCTGGCAGTTCCAACTTGGCTAGCAGAGCCTCCTTCATTTCCAGGCTTCATGAACCGCTTGGTAGCCTGCAGGAAGCCTTTCCGTCTGCACTCACACTGTGCTTATGCTTTATGTTATGAAGTGTTTCAAAAGAGCATTTAATTTCTATTTGACAATTTTAAGTTCATTGCATATCAACTGATAACTAAAAGTTCAGTTTT